AAAAAAATAAGAACTTACAATACATTCATATATATACTCCAAATGTTCAGGATACTGCTTGAAACACATACAGTGCGTCATGAAATATAAAAGCAAAAAAAAATAAATACAAAATATAGTTAAGATTATTGTAATGTATCACCTGGCACCCTGACTGGATACCTCCACCAAAAGATGCTCCTAGCGCTTACCAAGGACCATCAGCACTGCACCGAGCACTCCACTTGACACCATAGGTACTGCAGACCCCATGAACCACCGCAGCTTGGTTGGGGTCTCGCCGTCTCCTAGCCACCCTGGACCTATGACAAGGCTCCAGGTTCCAGTGGGTGAACCTCTGTTTCCCCAGAGAGCGAAAAAGGAACAGGAACAAGCTCTTAGAAGAGCTTAGTGATTATATCAAGGGAGTATGAAGAGCATAGCAATCCCTTGTAGCAGATTCCTCCCAATAAGAGACAGGACTCTAGAAGGAGGGTGAAGTAGAACTGAAGGTTTAATGGTACTGCTGTTTCTTTTATACAGTATTTCCCCACAAAGTTACCACAAACGTGGACCTTGTGGAGCACAGGACATGAAACTCACAAACCAATACAAACCAGAGTTTTACATTTGGACACTCCCAGTTACTGTACACAAACCCTCCCCTCTGCCTGTGATTCAATTAACAAACACAATGGACTAACTCAATTACCACAGGCATAAAACACACATTTTTACCCAAAACACAGAAAACAACACAAAACACCACATACCCTCATAAATTATACATTCCTGAATAGCCCTGATCTGGATGAACAACATATCCAAAAATCACCCAAATCAGAGCAGGGGTTCAAAAGTTTTCTGGAAGTCACATTTGACCGACCGCAAGCATGGCTTTCATGCCAAAAATAGTTCCACAGAATTTGGCTGTGCGGCCGGTCTATTTCCAATAGTTTCAAATGCTAAGTTCTGTTCGAATGCACGAACGGAAACCGTTCGTGCAGATATCCACTGTTAACGTGGCATTCGAATAATCAAACACACTTTGATTTCAGTCAAAGTGTGGAAGTCTGGAAAAGGTAAAGTTCAGCAGTATTCATGCTGTCACGTATCCGATTTGAGTTTCATGAACTCAATGACCAAACACCGCTGAACACGTTCGACTGAATTAAAATGGCCGCCACCACGTGTTTGTATGTCAAATGGCGGCCACTTCGACTACTTCGGCACTCCGGCTGTATCCAAAGTACCATTTCAAAAGTGCAGATCGTTTCCCACAGAATTTAAAGGGGCAGAAATATTGTATTAAAACCCCATAAGCCCAAATAGGCTTTTTAAATGGCTATACCCCCAGGGTCCATAGTCACAGGGCAGGAGGCGGGCAAGCAGGCCCCTCCAAAATCTCATGGCAAACTCCCTTAAAAGGGGGAGTTTGTCACAATTATGACTGATATTTTAATTCTAATTTGAAGAAGAAAGACACTCAAAAATACAGTTGTGCTCAAAGGTTTGCATTCCCTGACAGAAATTGTGAAATTTTGGCATTGATTTTGAAAATATGAGTGGTCATGCAATTAAAATGTCTTTTATTGAAGTATAGTGATCATATGAAGCCATTTATTATCACATAGTTATTTGGGTCTTTTTAAAATCATAATGACAACAGATAACAGAAATCAACCAGATGTCCCTGATCAAAAGTTTACATACCCTTGAATGGTAAGCCATATTTTTGAAATGAATGCCAGTATTTCACAATTTCTGCCAGGGTTTGCAAAATTTTTAGCACAACTGTATATGGGGGAGTAGACATGGCTGACCAATGTATGCAGACTTCTGGTGAACTGGAAAAATAGGC